GTTCTATTTTTAGCAATAAATTGTAACACAAAAAAAAGAAAATCCAACAAGATAAACACCCTGTCAAGAGACAAAGCAATCACGCAAGTCAAAGTGAAATATGACTCAGATGTTGGAACTGTCAGACAGGGAATTTAAAATAACTATGATTAATATGTTAAAAAGCCATGGTGAAAAAGGGAGAAGGCATATGTGAATTGACAGAGAATTTAAGTAGAGAGACTGAAATTATCTTTAAAAATATAATCAAAGTAAAATTCTAGAAATAAAAAGCATTGTAACAGAAAGGAAGAATGCTTTTGATGGGCTCATCAGTAGACATTACACAACAAAATAAAATATCAGTCAATTTGAAAAAAAAATGTCAGTAGATACAACCCAAACCAAAACACGAGGAGAAAAAAAGAATAATAGAAAAGATAACATCCAACAGCATAACTGGAACATCAGAAGGAAAAGCCAGAGAGAATAGGGTAGGAGAAATATTTGAAGAGATGAAGACCAAGGATTTTTCAAAAGATTTATTTTTTTAACTAAATCAACAGGCCCCAAAAGATTAGAAAATGCCAATAAAAACAAATACTACAACATATACATACACATGCATCTACTTGCACACACACACACCAGAAATGTGCTGCTGAAAACCAAAGATAAAGACAAAAATCTTGAAAGAATGCAGTGGGAAAAAGACATGCTATGTGCAAAAGAAACAAATTTACATCACAGTTCAGATGTGAAAATTATGTAAAACACAAAACAGTGGATCTGGATCGGCAAACTTGAAGTTGTGAAAAAAAATAACTGTCAACCAAGAATTCTATAACTAAATATTTTGTAAATAAATGAGAGGTATTTTTTCAGACAAACAAAAGCTGAGATAACTCATTAGTTGACTATATGTACCACAAGGGAGTGTTAAAATGAACATGGCTTCAAATTGGATAAATGAAGATAAAGAAAAATAGTTGAAATATTTTTCAAAAACAAGTTAACAAGACTCTTTCAAAGTTGAGGTCATTCATTAGTTTGAAGAATGCAAAAGGAATATGTTATGCCATTAATCAAAAAAAAAAAAACTGGAGTAGCCATATTAATATCAAAGTAAAGGTTAGGACAACAAATATTACCAGATAGAGATGAACCAATGTGGGTTGTAATACACAAGTGCATGGAAACAACACTAGGAATCTCTCTGTACAGCTATCTTTATCTCAAGTTAGTAAAAACTCTATGTCTTTCTTATTATCTGCTATGTTTTCTCTTCAACAAAATTGGAGAAGAAGAGGGAAGAACAGGATCTGCCTGGAAGCGGGAGGGAAGGGGGAGAAGGGGGAAGGGAGAGGAAGAGGAGGGGGAAGAGGGGAGAAATGACCCAAACAATGTATGTACATATGAATAAATGAATAAACAAAAAAAAAAAAAGAAGTATTAAGAGAAATAGCTAAACCTACATTAGAGTTAGTGATGTCAATACTCCTTTCTAGCAATAAATGGAACAAAATCATAAGACTCAACACATCAAGTATTAGAAAATTTGAAAAACAGATTATTAAATAATCTGACCAAGTAGAAAACAGTCTTTACAAGTGTATGTGAAATATTCAACAAGTAAAACCATATTCAAGGTAACATAACAAACCTTAATGAATTTTTAAGCTAAAATAATATAAAGTACGTCCTTAGGCCATAAGAAATCAACCACAGGAAAAAATGTCTGGAATTTTCTAAATATGTGAACTTAACCAACACACTTTAAAATAATTAATATATGAAAAATAGAGTAAAAAGGAAAAATATAAAATATTTTAATTCAATGAAAATAAAAACAAAACATTAATAATTGTTAGGTGGAAATAAAGCACTTTAGAGAGAAATTTATACTTCAAATTACATTAGAAAGGAAGAAAAAACAAATTATACCCAAAGCAAAATAAGAATAAAATAATAAACAGAAATCAATGGAATTGAAAACCAAAACTAGAGAAAAATTAATGAAAACAAAAAGTAGATCCTTAAAAGTAGACAATCCTTTGCACAGACAGATCAAAACAAAAAGACAAAAAAATCCCAGTATTAGGAAATGAAGAAGGAAATCACTGAAATTCTGACAAATAAAAGGGTAAGGAATAGCATACCTATAAACTCAACAATGTAGATAAAATGGAAAACATTTCTTGAAAAACACAAAGTGCCAAAAATTACATAAAGAAAAAAAACTTCAGCTAATCTTATACCTACTGAAGAAACTGAGTATTTCAAAACCTCCCACAAAGAAAATTCCAGGCTCAAACGCTTCAGTGAAAACATTCTACCAAACATTTAAAAATAATTCTCCAAAAATTTTTCTGGACAATTGGAAAAAAAAAACACTTTAGAACTCATTTTATGACATCAACATTACCATATACTAAAACCAGATGGAAATACAGCAAGAAAACTAGATGGTAGAGTGTTGCCTGCCATGTGCAAGGCCCTGGGTTTGATCCCCAATACCACAAAAACAAAAACAAAACTATAGATCAGTATATCTGGTAAGAAAACATGAAAAGATCTAGCAATTAAATTCAGTAATGAAGTCATAATTTACCGTAACAAAGTGGATCTTATTCCAGCTCTGCTAGACTGGTTCAACATTCAACAATTAATCAGTGTAACTCATTACAACATACTGAACAAAAAAAGTCATAGGATCATCATCTCAATTGATGTGAAACATTTAACCAATTTCAACATTCTTTTTTTATTTAAAAAAATCAGCAAACTGAATAGAAAGGAACTTCTTCAACATACAAAGTTTATCTATACCTATACCCAGAAACCTATCCCTAACCACTAAGTAAAAATGAAAGACTGGAAGCTTTTACACTAAGTTTAGGATCAAGGCAAAGATATCCACTCTTACCATTCATTTAGCATGATAACAGAGGTCATATCCAGTGTAATCAGTCAAGAAAAAAAAATAGATGGTGATTTTGGAAAGGCAATAAAACCCCCAAATATTCCTCAACTGACAAATCAATCAACAAACAGGTACATTAAACCAATATTATTTATCAACAAAAAAGGCAAACTACAGAAATACAAAGTAACAGATGGCTCTCAAATGTATTACAATACGTGAAAGAAACCAGACTTGAAAAGGCTACAAATTACATCATCCATTTGTATGACATTCTAAAAAGGACAAAAAGAATAAAGACAGAAAATGTGACATTATTTACCAGGGGCTGAAAGCAGATAGAAAGATGTGGGGGGGGTTCTTTGACACAATAGAACTGTTTTACATCTTAACTGTAGTAGAGGTTACAAAACTTTTTAATCTGTCAAAAATTACAAAACTTTACACTGGGATGAATTTTTTCAGATGTAAATTACACTTTAAGAGGAAATAAAGACTAGGGTCTATATCTATGTATATTTATCTACATAGATAGATAGGTAGATATTCTAAACTCAGACTTTCTAAACTCTACACCTCTTCCTAAAAGGGGATCTTAGGTCTGTTCTCAAACTCTTATTGAATCGGTCTTTTCAACTGTAAAATGTAAGAGCAACAGTATCTATTTCTCGTAGTGGTTAGCTTTCCATTGCCATTCTATCATTGTTGGTGGTGCGATGTTCTACCATATACCTGGCACTATTAAGGATACAGGATGAATCTATGACATGGTCCCTGACTTCCAGGTTATAATTTAGTGAGTAAACATCTCCTAAATAGACAAATGAATGCAAATGTGTTACTGTCATCAGATTTATAATCATAATAATTAACAAAACCAGTATTAAGTATCAATTAAGCCAAATTCAAATTAATTTCAAATACAGTTCAGCATTAACAAGAATTTTCTAAATTAGGAGTGCAATTTCAACTCAAACCGAAGAAGTTCTACTACTAGTCCAAATGTATCTAGAATGATCACTACAGAGACTTTTGAAAGACTCAAAATTGTAATTGCATTTATCAGAGTGTCAGCCTGCCTCATTTTTACCAATTCACTCTAGAGTTTTACTGTTACTTTAAGTAAAAATATCAAGAAAGCATTTATAAGAACATGAACTTTTGTTTCCTTATATGCCAAGACTTCATATGTCTGAGTAAGACACTTCCCTAAAAAGATAAAGCTAAGAAGTCACTGAAAATTGATGAAGAGACAATGAGGTATCCCAGAAAAGTCTGCTCCCTCCAACAAAAAAGGAATTAATGACTTTGTCTGTGTATCACATACATAACTTACTAATCTGTGTGAGCTACACATGCATTACAACCATACATCGTACACACACGTGCCAACCTTCTTTGGGTTAGAGTATCAGAAGCCTGAGGAGTACATGCTGAAATACACAACACCTACCTTTAGAATCAATTACATTTTTATCATATTCATGATGCACAATGATGAATTTATTGAAGACCCAATGTATGTGCAGTTCTTACAGCATAAATCATTATAGGCAGATTTTATTAAATATGTCCGTATCACACAGGCTGAAAGAAAGTCAAGCTATTCCTGTTTCGAAGATTTCCCATCTACTGTCATCTCACATCACATCTCAGTGAAACACTGTGAGAAGTGTTCTTGGAGTGTTATCAGCTAAAAATTCTGCAACAAGTACGGCTTTTTGCACAGGATTTCACACTGAATAATATAGTAACATCTAGAAATTCCTAACCTAGAGGGGGAAAAGAACATTAAAAAAAGATATTTTTAAAAAGCATGACATATGCATAAGGGACTTCTCAAACAGAATCCACAGATTCATTTTAAGCACTCCACTTGCTCAGAACTATTGTTTTGGAATATGGAGCCCACAAACATAGATCTTCCAAAGTTTTACATAAGGGGAATATTCCTACAGATTGTATCTATTAATCAGAAGCCAGTATGAGGGAATGTGTAAGAGAGAGAAAACAATATGACAACAAAAAACAAGTCAAAATAAAATAAGTGAAAATGCCCTTTGGATGAACCCAGAGAAAATGATTCTGGCTAGCTTACCTTGCCTTTTTCCATTAACTTTTTCTAAAGTGCCAGGGAGCTGGACTTCAAAGTCGTGTTGAAGGTCATATCTTTGCTTTTCAAGGTGATGCTCTTCCTCAGCAATAGAAGTAAGCACATATGGGGGCTTTGGGTCAGGCCACTGGGATACTGTAGGACATGAGTCCTTTGCATGTTGGCTAGGCCTGGGGCTTGAAGTTTGGGCAGAGTCCTGCAAATCACTCGTAGAACATGAGAAATGATCCTCTTCAAGTAATGAGGAGTTTGCATCCTCTTGACTCCAGCCATTGTCTTTTGCTTTTTCTTCATCGTCACAGTAAGTTTCCTGAATTTGAGTATTATCTAAGTTCTGGTCTAGCTTGTCACTCAATTTAGAGTCTTGTTTGCTTAAATGAACCAGCAAAGAAGATAATGTATCTCCTGCTTGCTGGAGAGCTTCATAAACCTGGGATATCCAAGAAGAGAAAGGCTGGAAGAAGTTCTGGGTATCCTGAGATGCCATGGTCAACACCATGGCCAACTATTTGGTGTCTACAGAGTCCACTTGCTCAGTTCCTTTAGTAGTCTGGACTTAACGTGAACTACAAAATAAGCATGATGAGAAATTTAATTGGAGGTCTCTTAATGGCTGTGAATATTTCACTCTCAAAACTTCTCAGCTGAAACAGAGGAAAGAAATACTGATACCTGTTAAAGTTACAACTTCAGACCCTCACCACATACCTACAATCAATGTCAAATAATACTTGGGGACAATAAAAACTAGCTAAATAAAATGACTGTGAAATTCTAAATGTAGGTTGTATCAATTAATCTCCACAGGCAATTGTAAAATTTCCATTAGCAATAATGGGTTATATTCACATAGACTGAGAGAAGTCTATCCCCCATAGGCCATACTGAACAATGTGAAAAGGATAAATGAATCTTCATTAAGAGTCAGTGGGCATGACATTTCAAAATAGGAGAAAGGTTGGATGTTTCATCTACAAACCTGCCATCCCTTGAGAGCTAACTAATAGGCAGATCTGCTTTGTTAACACAAAGGTTTAGCCTTTCAAAGGAACTATGTGCCTGGAATTAAAAAGCTTTAAACAAATCTTAAAATAGAATTTTACATTTTTATGCAATCTCTACAAATGATACCTTCTTGGGGAGCAAGCACTGAAAAACTGAGGGTGGCAAATGGATCATCGAGCTTGCTAGAGACACGTCTCTTGCATCTCATTGCATTTGTTTCTGTTCCAACCTCCTGAAGTTAGCCTTCCAAAACCAGGAGACTTCTGAGACCCACTTCATCCCACAAAATTGACAGGCCAAAGGAAGCAGCTCCGGGACATCAACAGGACAACTTTAAGACCATAGAGCAACTACCTATATTTACATGTGTCCATGCATACAAACATACAGAGATGTGTATATTAGCACCTGTGTGTGTATAGATATGTTCTTGCTATTACAGCTCAGGATAAATGTTATTAATGAGTACAGAGCCTAAACTAACTGCCTGAATTTAATTACCCCATTTTTCTTATTGCAGCAACTTCCTGAAGCTATCCCTTAGCTTTCAATCCTCTTGACCTCAGGCTATGGCATCTGATATGACTGCTTACTGACATCCTCCTCCAAATCTCTTGTTGGCAATCCATGGGTGCATTAAGTGAAGGAAACAATGCCAGGTATAAGGTAACCCTGAGGCCTCTGTCTCCATATAACCCATATTTCAGTTAAAGGAAACTGAGCTCTCTGAATTTACCCCTTAAGCTGAATAATTCTAGTCTGTGTTTTGGGCTCCTCCTTGTCTTCATATCAATGAAATATTTGCAACCACATATTGTCCTATAGCTTTTCCTCTTTCCTCTTTATAAAAGTCATACCTTCTTGGAAGGTTGGCCCATCCGTAAGTTTTCATTAATACCATCTTTCCAATTCTAAGATATACATCTCCAGTCCTTAGTTCAACCCTTCTTTCATTATTTTTATCTCTGGTTATCCAGGCCAGTGATTTGTAAGTTAGGAGAGTCAGAATCACTTACTAGGCAAACAAGGCACACAAAGACCCAGGCTGGTTGAAGGAACAGGGCCACACCTGAACCTCTTTTTGTCACGTTTCCCAGGTGTATCTGGCCCTCATTAAAGTCTGATTAAAAAAAAAAACCTGCTATAAAGAAATAGGTCTACTTATATGTGTCACCAAAATCTGAAGCTCAACTCATAGAAATCTAGCATGTCACTTTGCTACAGGTATTCAATTCTAGGTTCACAACATCCTAACGATTACGAATTCTCCAACACTCACCTCCTCCTCTATTCCTTCCATTCCGAGTTCTGTTAGTGTTTGGTTTACAGAGTTTTTCTTCCATTACATTTGACAGTGATCACATTTCCCCACTCTTCAGTCCACCCGCCCAACACACACACACATAACACAGACCTAGTTGGCTCCATTCTCTAGTCTTTCCCAGCCTGACTCAACCTTTGTGTTCACCACGACCTGACCTTCTGTTAGATTTACTGCCTCTCTCCTTCCCTGGAATGGAGGCTCTATGGAGGGCAGAGATCATCTGTTTTATTCTGTGTTTTACCACCAGTGCTTAAAGTATGCTGAACACAGTCAATGCTCAATAAGTAAATTGCAAATCATATTAAAAAGCATACAGAAAACAGTACCTAGCACAGGCTAAATACTCAATAAATTTATTAACTTAATGAATAAAAGATATTAAACAATGTTATCACACAAATAACCTGCTTAGCGACAGTCTTTCAACATTTATTCCAACCCATTTCACAACCGAGTTTTTGGTTGATAGTTTTCCCCAAAAATCTTTTGCATAAATTACTAGAAAAAATGAGTAGCTTTAGTTTCTAAGGACTGTCCTCACAACTCTCAGAGCTCAACCTTTGGTCCTAACTGAAGATCCAGCTGTATACAAGCTGACCCCAGTGATATGGCCACTCCTCACTGTAAAGTCCTCTGTGCCAGTCACACTAACACTGAACATTTCCCAAAGTGACCATGCTTTTTCTTGATGTCTGCTGATTTTCCCAAGAAGTCTTCTCTTCTAACCTGTCTGGTAATTGCTTGTTTTTTACAAGGAAACTCTTATTGCTTCCTCAGTCAATTCTTCATCTACAATCAAAGGTGTGGCCTCAGAGAGCTGTGAACACCTTTATGATATAAAATTGCACCTGGTGCAGTACATATTTGTCATCACTCCTCTTTCAATACAGTGGGAGTCCATAAGTGCTGGGACTATTTTTATACTTACTACTCCAGAACCTATGTAGGACAGGAACTCTGAACATGTTTGATTGATAAATGAATGAATGAAGTTACGAATGAAACTGCTTAAAGCTAAGTAGCCCTGATTCCTTCACTTATATTCATCTGTAAAGTGACATTCACTTACTAGATGACCATCAGTACTTCCTTTCTGCTCTAAAACCCAAGAATTTACCACATGAGTCAAAGACAATTGTAATACTGAGACTGGATATATTCAGAAAGAAGTTGCTTTTTAAGGGACTGGTTCTATGATGTTGTCAAAAAGCATCGTCAGATGATCCCAAGGCAAGTCAAAGAGGCCAGCTTTTGATCCGTATATGAAAAAGTCTCCAGCTATTGTATTCCAAAAAGGAAAAGCACCTACAGCTGACCCTGGAAATCAACCTAGAGAGCAACTCTGAAGAGGGTTCACACTCTAAATCAGCCTAAAGCCAAGGCATCTGAGCACTGCAGAGTAATCACAGAGATGCCTCTGAGCTCAGGTAAATGTCTACTCGATTGGGAGGGCACCCCAGGGTAACACAGATACATATTCAGTATCCTATATCTTTGCAGACTTTCGTACATACTGACACACTTTACCACATACACACACACACATACACACAGAAGAAAACTATCCAGGTCCCTGGATAAGAAGGAAAAAATACATTGAAGGTCTTGTTACAGCTGAAAGGGCTCATTACTGAATTAAAATAGTTCATAATACTTCATTACTATGAGAAGTATAAGACAAAACAACAAAAAATGTTTGTGTGTATGTGTGTGTGTGTGTGTGTGACACATAAGCTCCTATCACAAACATGACCTCGGAAGGTTTACGGAGTCTCAGAATAAACTATAAGTCTAAGAATTAACTATTAACAATTTAAAAATAAAGATTAAAAGGAGCTGGGTATGGTGGCACATGCCTGTAATCCCAGCACTCAGGAGACTGAGGCAGGATGATCATGAGTTTGAGGCCAGATTGGGCTGCAAAATGATACCTTGTCTCAAAAAAAAAAGCCAATTTATTCCTAAGGGTTACATTTTTTAATCTTTTAATTAGAATTCTGTTTTAATTAGAGGTGTTTAATTGAATTAAGACCATTTTAAACTTAGGAAATGACTGAGCAGAAAACATTAGAGTTGTGTTTCTACAGGAGAAAACTAACAAATTCCTCAGCCATCTTATGCTTTTGCTCATATATGTTTTGAACAGGTGATTGTAGACAGAGATGTCCCATATCCATGATAATGCTCGTAGTCCTATGATGGCTGACAGTTAAATCTTTCTGACCCATTTTGTATCTAATGGCAGCTTCTTGCAGAGAGGAGGAGAGTTACAGCCTAAGAAGAAGCCAGCTTCTAGAGGCTATGCCTTAAAAAATCTGCAGGGTCTCAGAAGAAGTCAAATGGAAGCCTTACATACGCCTAGGTGAGTTTAAAGGATTTTAAGCTCCTGGAGAGATTCTGACTCCAGAGAAGGTTCCAATAATGTAGTTTCCAGGTAACCAAATCCTAAGTCAAGTTCATCTACTAACCTATAATGAATGTTTATAGCATTTTTTAAAGGAGAAATCACTTTGTAAAATCTCTTCTCACTCTTTACTTACGACTGGCCTGTGGATTGTGATAAAGTCAGGAAAACTGCGTTTATTTCAAGTGTCTGTTCATGCTGTCAGTTAGCTTCCTTTTGTCATCTGAATGTGTTGGTTATTTATTATTGACTTGCTAGAGTGACCTTAAAGCTAATTAAGCCTATCATTAGCATACCTTTTAGAGAAAGTCATTTTGTATTACCTACTATGAGTAAGAAGGTTTAGGAAGATGAATAATGCATGCAGTGAAAATAAGAACTATAAAATGGGCAATGATCCATCTTTAAAATGATTCAAAGGAGTCTACAGGTGTTTTCTGTTAAAAGCAAATTTGTTACATGGGTAGGAATATGTGCCATTGAGATGAAATGTCTTCTGTAGCATTTGTCCAAAATGTGTTCTAAATGCTGGCATCTTAACAAATATAAAAATGGACTCCTTCTGGCATCTTGTCATTGCTGGTTCTTGCTGGTCCTTGCTGGTCCTATAGACCTTTTACCACTGGACTTCAGGAGGGGCCAGGTGGGGGAAGGAGGTCAGTGACTATAAAGCGAAATGAAAAACTCCCTATAATCCAAACGTACATTTATCAGTTGACACTGAGAAAAAGAACAGCATGAAAGAAAGAAATAATGTAATCACACCAAACACGGCTGTACTACCTCCCTCTTACTCCACAGTACCGGTCAAATCACATGACC